TGGAAGAGAAAAGAATGGGAAGAAATCGAGCCGCTGGTAGGGAATTAGACAAGGCGAGATGGTCGTCGTCGTCGTCGAGGTTGACGTCGTCGTCATCGTCTGGGTCGTCGTCATCGTCGTCGGGGTCGTCGTCATCGTCGTCGGGGTCGCCGTCGTGGGTTGTCGTCGTGGTAGAAGTCGACGTCTCCGCAGTCTCAGCGCCCCATGTCGGCTCAAGACATGCTGCTGCATCCGCGGCCAGCTTTCAGAATTTCCCTGCTCCTTTCTACGGCATTGCAGGCTGCCGTCCATATCGCGGTTCGAGCCGCTGTTCCCTGCACTTCCATATTTGTCTCCATGCCGCCAGCTGTTTGCGAGAAGCCACGTTGCACGTATGCCAATTATCCCATGCGCACTGGAACCCAACCGAAGGTCTCAGCCGAAGGCATCGGCAAACGTGAACGTCAAACATACTGCGAGCGGTGTAATTCGTCTGACACACTCTGTGCCCACACCCAATGCGATGCCCCAGTAGCCCCACCCTTCCGCAAGTCGAACACACAGGTCAAGCCTACTTTCTGCAAGCCGCACTACACATACCCATGCCACAATAGGACGCGCGAGTGGCACCTGTGTAAAAACGCTCGCGTCGGATGTCGCCAGCTAGCCACCGACAAATCATCCGGCCCATGCTTTCCATGCTCTGATAAATCCCTGCCCTGTCGTTTCGCAGTGCTCGGGTGTCCTTCCCGCGTCCGGCAGAAAGTGAAGGCTGCGTCCGAGCTGCTTCCGCAATTCTTCACCCGCCACAGCAGCACCTCCTTCCCTTGCAACCCCGCTCGCACATTCGCCTGCGCATCGACAGGCTGCCAAGAGGATCGGGGCGATGCAGAACACAGGCTTTGCGTCGCGTGCCAAGCCGGACGTCGACCGTGCACAGTGTGCTTCTTTCGCCGAGGAGCTCCCGGATCGCCCGATGTGTGCGCCGAGCGCGGCGGAACCGCGCCGGCCGCGGACCCTCCTGATGCCGCTCCAGCGCCGTGTCCGACAGCGCTTGCATCTGCACCCTTGCGACGCGCAGCTCCGAAGTGCGGGGCGCCAGTGGCGCAAGGGAACACATCCGCCGAGGCGGCTCTGTGCCCCATGTGCATGGTCGGTGTCCTTCCTTGCGCTACGGCCACCTGCAGCTTTCGCGTCCCTCAACAACGCGGCCAGCATTGCCTCTTCTGCCAACCGCCAGCCCTGCTCCATTTCTGCCGTACGTCCGCCTGTAGGAACGTCGTCGAGTCGCCAGAGGACACGATGTGTTTTCTTTGCGCTTCTTCCTGTTTCCCATGCGCCACGCGTAGATGCGACGGCCGCTCCGCCCCTGGTTCAGCAGGGCTGCGTCGAACGCGTGGTTTGTCAACGACGCAAGTACCATCATCATTCGGGAAGCGCGCGCACGAGCAAACAGAGCGCCCTTGTAGCTCGTCTGGATGCAACGGCGCAGCTCAACGCAAGTCGTCCGAGGGCCTTTGCACCGCGCGCGTTCAAAAAGGAAAGCCATGCAGCAATCGAGCCATAGGGCGCGTTCATCGCGTCGGGCCCCTCGGCGCCGTGGTCCGATGTAGGCACTGTTGGCTCTCGGGGCCCCCTTGCCAAGGGCTTGGGAAAACTGGCCGCCGCGCCCCAGAAGTCTGCGGAGTGCGACGAGCAGTGCCGCACAACAGCGGCCTGTGCGAACGTTATTGCAAACCGGCCTGCTCCTTCCCAAGCTGCGACAGGAAGTTGATTAAAGCAACCATGCCGCGTTGGGTTCTGCCCAGCCCACCTCCAGCGTGCCACGTTTGCCGCCGCCGCCAGACCCGACCATCCCTCGACGTCGACGTCTGCGGATGTCCAGCGCGCCCGCCCAACTGGCAACCCCTTGCAAGCGGCCCGCAAGAAAGTTACTGCAGTCGTCCGCGTGTACCTCCGAGCACGCGACTCACCGGAATGCACTGGCAGCGCATTGACTGCACCGTGGTTTCGCAACAAGTCCACCCGCGTAGCATTGCAGGCCTCGTCGAGTGGTCCGCCCACCTGCACAGCACATCGGAACTGGTTCGCGGAACCCTTGCCTGGGGCCGCCCGCGGAAAACTTAGCGGGCGCCGCGCCGGCTGGCGGCCCAAAGACGACTGGCGCGGCAACCGCGTTCCGAGAGCGTGGCTCTCTCCGACCGGCCACTTCCAAGGATCCTGCGCGACATGCGGGGCATTGCATTTTTTCGCCGAGAGATCGCGTTGCCCGGAAGCGCGTGGAAAGGATTTCGGCGCATGCTGCAAATGCGGCGCTCTCGCCGGCGCCCCCATTTTGCCTCCCGCCCCAGACGAACTGTCGGAGCTCCTGCGTCGAGGTCCGTCTCGCGACCGCGCGCAGCACATCCGGTCCTGCAACTGCGCCCTTGGATTCGCATCATTCAACAGCGAGAGCACTGCCGTCGGACGGAAGCCCCCCCCCCGACCTCTTCCGGCAGAGGTCCGCCGGCGTTCGTACTCCAAGGGCGCGCGTTCAAATCCGTAGGCGCCCTTCACCCAGAGTCGAGCCGCAGTCCGAAGCGCGCGCAACTGTACATCTACGACCCAACAGAAGCAACGACTGCCAGAGCCGAGTCGTTCCCCGACCTACAACGAAATGTCCTCGACCTGCTCAGAATGCTTGTGCGCGCGTCCGCGAACCCGTGCCCGTCGCAGTTCCGACACATGAACGACGTCGTCGAAATTTCCAGGGCCGCTCATGGTGCATCTGCCCCCGAACACGTCCTCCGTTTCGCGGGAGGAGTGGAGAAAGATCCGCGACGTTGCGGCGCCCCGTCCGCGGCCGAGGTGGCTTTCGCAGTGGTGGGAGAGGGGCCTCTGCCTCCCCGCTACGTCTCTGCGTTTACACGTCGCACGGGCGGCTCCGACGCAACCCGCGAGTTGCCCTTTCTGTCCGAGCACGTGGACCCGCTCGCATACCTTCTCATCCACGTCGCTGGAACTGCGGGGTGCTCAACAGCATTGCACACCGACGCAGTGGGCGCAACGAAAGCGCGGAATATTCACATCAGGGAGATCTACGACAACGGCGACTACGATTGCGAAAGACCTCCAGCGTGATCTCCTTCGGGGAAGGAACGCAGAGCAGCGCGGAGAAGGAGTCGCGCTGGGGCTCTTCGGACTTGCGGCCGTAGAGATTGGCTGTGGTTGCGGAGAGCCATGGACAAACTATGACTAGAACCTACGCGCGCGCGTAGCGCGCGCGTGGGTTCTAGTGTGTATATATATATATGTGTATGTATGCATGTGTATATGTACACATGTGTATATGCATATATAAATATATATATATATATATATATACATACATATATATACATATATATATATATATACATGAGGGCTCGTCCGCGTGATCGTTGACCTCGTTGACCGACATCTCCCTGCTTTGCCTCTCGTATCATTTTGGCGCGATGCCCGCCTTGTGCTTGTGCGACGTGCTTGCCATTCCCGGACGTCGGATGCTGGATGCGATGCTGGATGTAATAAAAGGGTTGAGGAAAGGGATGTGTCCATTGCATGGCCTCCTGGAGTTTGCTCGGCGCGCCGCTGCATTGACGGGCGTTGTTGTCCTGCAGGCTCGCTGCAGGCTGATTCCGCTTTTGCTTCGCAAGAATATGTGTCCGCAAGAATATGTGTCCGGTGATCTCGAATTTTGCCTTCGAAAGATAGAGAGCACGCGCTTGGCGGTGAACGCCCCGCGGTATAGGCTGTGGCGGGCCCGTGTCTCGCCTGGTCCGACTTCCTCGGCGAACGCGATATCCGCTCTGGGGAAGTTGTTGCCGCGTTTCATGAAGCTGGTCAGGTGGCTTGCTAGTGTTGAGCCTGCAGGGTTGGGCCGACGCGCCGAGTCTTTGGGAGTCGTCGGCGGTCCGTGCTGCCAGGTGGATGCTCTCTGGGTGTCGGTGGGGCCCTTGTTGTGAAAACACAGATCTGCCATTTATCGTTCAGGCTCTTGGTAAGGAAATTTTGCGTCAAAAACATGCACCCCTCATATGTTCCAAGGTTCGCTGGAGACGGGTGCCCCTCGTCATCCTGCTCCTTTTCCTCCCCCACGCACCCCGGAGACAACGCGCCTGGTAACAATATTATGACAACCTAGATGTTGCATATATATGTATATTTCCCGTGTATGGAAACTTTTTTGTATAATCATTTATATGTAACATGTGTTTCAAGGCTGTGGTACGGGAGACATGTGACAACACAGACATTCCATGCATATCCCGACCATCCTGTTGTGTTCGGTCGTCGGGTCTCCGAAATGGGCAATGCCCGGCCCAGGGGCCGTGCAGATATGCAGAGCAATCGATTCGTCTTCAATCCCCATTGTTTGGCCGCTTGAGAACAATGAGCTTGCAGATGTACACACTAATATATATATATATATATGTGTGTATATACATACACATACATGCATACATACACACCTACACAAACACATACATCCAGACGTGCATGCATACAGACATTCACGTTCATGCCACATACGTCCATGGACACAGTCCGTCACAAACGAACAGCATGTGCTATCAGGACACGTTTTGTAATTCAGCCGCCCCATATGATAACGGATGCGAGTTATGTTACATTGTAACATGTTCATCGCTATCGTGTTTGGTATGCGTTCTTGGAGTGGTGGCGGTAACCACATAAGCTTGATGCTTCGGGTCTTGGGAGTTGTGCACTATTTGAGCCCAGTTTGATTGTTCGATTGTATCCTCGTTGCACGGTGATGTGATATTGCTTGAAGAGGCCTTGTGTTCAGTGCCGAGGACGCGCTCGTGAGTCTTTGTAAGCACGGGTCGGTCTTAAAATGTAAGAAGGCAATCGTATTTTGATCGGCAAGTTGGTATCGGCTGCATTTGGCAGGGTAGTGGCATGAGGCGCGCCCTCTCACTGCCCTGCAAAAAACAGCAAGCAAGCAGGCCTGCTCGTGTCGCTTGGTCCCCCCTTGCCAGATCGCGGCGGCGCGGACCCCGGTGGCTTACCCCATCTTCACCTTCCGCTGGCTGGCAGTGCACATGCTGGCGGCGCCTGATTCTGCCGCTGCCGCTGGGAGCCGCAGACGGGGGGAGGGAAGATAATGGATTACCCTCCGCCCTCGTCCCTCCCCACGTTCTTTCTTCTCCAAGTCCCCCCTTCCCCCCCCTCCTGAACCTCTCTCCTTCCCCGTCCATCCTCCCCCTCCCTCTCCCACAGAAACGTCGAGGCCTATTCCCCTCGCCCCGTCCCAGAAACTTCGAGGCCTCTTTGATCGAGTCCACGTGAGGCTCGGTTTTCTTTGAGGTGCGTCCGAACCAGCCGTGGGCACGGCACAGCCCGGGTAGCCCGTGCTTGGGTCGGGGCCACCTGAGCGTGCGGGACCTTCGGCATCGTCTGAGTTTTTCCTGGCAGCACACCTCCTCCTCCTCCTCCTCCTCCTCCTCCTCCTCTTCCTCCTCTTCCTCCTCCCTCCCCCTGCTCCTCCTCCCCCTCCTCCTCCTCCTCCTCCTCCTCCTCCTCCTCCTCCTCCCTTCTCCTCTTCCTCCTCCTCCCTCCTCCTCCTCCTCCTCCTCCTCCTCCTCCTCCTCCTCCTCCTCCTCCTCCTCCTCCTCCTTCCGCCTCCTCCCACGGAGAGTCTTACCTTAGCCTGCCTCCTCTCTTATACATGTGTACTAGAGTCCGCACCAGTCGTCGTTCGCACGAGGTCATCCGGTGGGTGAGGAGAAGCAGCAAGACGAGAAGGAGGAAGATGACGAGGAGGAGGAGGAGACGGAGGATGAGGATGAGGATGAGGATAAGGAGGAGGAGGAGGAGGAGGAGGAGGAGGAGGAGGAGGAGGAGGGGGGAAAGGAGGAAGAAGAGAAGGAGGCGGAGGGAGGGGAGATGGGAGGAGGAGGAGGAGGAGGAGGCGAAGGAGGAGGAGAAGGAGAAGGAGAATAATAATGCTAGTAATACAAATCATCATAATCATAATCATAATAAGAAAAATACGAATAACAAGAACAATAATAATCAACATACGACTAAACATAACAAGAAGAGTAAGAGTAGTAATAATAATAATCGGAAGAGGAGGAGGAGGAAGAAGGAGGAAGGAGGAAGAGGAGGAGAGGAGGAGGGAGGAGGGAGGAGGGAGGAGGAGGAGGAGGAGGAGGGAGGAGGGAGGAGGAGGGAGGAGGGAGGAGGGAGGAGGGAGGAGGAGGGAAGATGAGGAGGGAGGAGGAGGAGGAGGATGCGGTGGAGAAGGTGGACGAGGGGGAGAGCACAGGGGCAGGGCGCACGGCCAGCCAGCCTCGCGAGTTTGAGTAGAGGATGGGCTGGGCTGGCAGAACGAGCTCTGGTAGCTGTGGGGCGGACCGATCCTCGACGACGCAGGTTGTCTGGGCGGTCTGGGGCCCTTTTTGGCCTGCCGGGGCCCCCGGGGGGTCTACCGAGATCCCCGGAGATTGGCCGATTCTCTGGAGGTGCCGACCGTCTTCTTCCTGGGTGCCATCAGCTCCATGCAGTTCATCCAGCGCTGATCTGCCGCTCCGAGGAGGTGCCCGTCCGCGCGAGCCCTCTTTGTGCTGCTGCCAGGTCTGTGGTCGCCATGCCGCTTGTCTTGATGGCGTCTGTGGCAGCGGCCGGTGCTCATCCGAGCCGACTGCGACTGCCCCGGCATCCCCGGCTGCGCAAGCATGTCACGTCTGACAAGTGTCGAGGGGCTGCGCAGGCCCTGGAAAGGCCGGCCGACGATTGCGCATCCACCAGCCTCGGATTGCCCTGAAACGGCTGGACTCGGTGTTTCGTTGGGTCCACTCTGGCCACCGCGTGTGCCGTGGAAGTGAAGGCCGGCAAGGCTTCTGGGATGCCCCCGTTTTCCAGATCGAGTGGTTCGAGATTTTGCTTCTGAAGTCTTCTGTCAACAAGCAAAAATGGCAACAAGGTGTTATTCTGATGGGCCCATGCACCACCACTATTACCGTAGGTAGGAGAGCGAGGAGGAGGAGGAGGAGGAGGAGGAGGAGGAGGAGGAAGAGGAAGACCTCCTTATCCTCCCCTCTCCCCCGTCCTGCATGTGGTAGTGGCGGTGGAAGAGTTGCCCATCAGCTTCCATCTTGGCCAGAGCCCACGCTCCATCGGCACACGGCCGGGAGCGAGCGAGCAAGACCCGTCGGCCGGCACTGCGTGCGCGGAGCGCCCTCTCTCGGCGGGCGCTTGGAGCGCAGGCGGCGCCCGGTCATTCGCGCGAGCGCAGGGCCTCAGCCCACCTGCACGGTTTCCCCCGTGGCCGTAGGCGACCCGAGGAGGAGGAGGAGGAGGAGGAGGAGGAGGAGGAGGAGGAGGAGGAAGAGGAAGACCTCCTTATCCTCCCCTCTCCCCCGTCCTGCATGTGGTAGTGGCGGTGGAAGAGTTGCCCATCAGCTTCCATCTTGGCCAGAGCCCACGCTCCATCGGCACACGGCCGGGAGCGAGCGAGCAAGACCCGTCGGCCGGCACTGCGTGCGCGGAGCGCCCTCTCTCGGCGGGCGCTTGGAGCGCAGGCGGCGCCCGGTCATTCGCGCGAGCGCAGGGCCTCAGCCCACCTGCACGGTTTCCCCCGTGGCCGTAGGCGACCCGAGGAGGAGGAGGAGGAGGAGGAGGAGGAGGAGGAGGAGGAGGACGGGTCGCCTAAGCCCTTCGGAGAAGCCCTCCAGGCCCACCTGGCTGTCCCGGGCCTTGGCTCACCATTGCGTGCGACCACTCAAAGAGCAGAAGCAGGGGAACAAACAAGATGGCATTCCCCAATCAGCGCTTGCACTGAAGGGGTCCTGCAGCGGATGTTGAAAGATTAGGCGACAGTTTCCCGCCGATTTTGGTTGGCTTCCCGGATTTTTTGGTTCCCACGGTTCCCGGGTTCCCGGGTTCCGGGAACGCACTTCGTCGGTCCGCTGATCTCTGTTGTCATAAATGAAACCAGAGAAAAAAACCCAATCAGGTCTATAGGGCTAGGGGGCTATAGGGCTATTGAGCTATAGGGCTATAGAGCTATAGGGCTATAGAGTTGTAGGGCAATAGGGCTATTGGGCTATTGGGCTATCGGGCTATAGAGCTATAGAGTTGTAGGGCTATAGGGCTATAGGGCACCCCCGGGCACGCCCGGGCACCCCCGGGCACCCCCCGGGCACCCCCCGGGCACCCCCATGGGCCCCCACCGGGCCGGGCCCCGGCCCCCGGGCACCCGGGCACCCGGGCGTGCAGCGAAAATCGGCGACAAACTTGACCTAACCATACGAATCCGCTATGAGACCCCTATTGAGGCAAGCTCTGCTTGGGGAACATACAAACTAGGAGGTCCGCGCGGATTTCTCGGATCGGCGTTGGACCCCCCTCCCTGGCGCGCGGAGCGCGCCAGGGGCGGCGCCGGAGGCGCCGCGAGGGGGCTCCAGCGCCGATCCGAGAAATCCGCGCGGACCTCCGAGTTGTTATGTCTATATCATTGTTCGTTCCCCTAAGAAGGTCACGATAATGATCGGGTCAACGATTTCCAAGGCTCCCAGGATGCCTGAGGTCCCCAGACGTCTTATTAAGGGTTCCAGGAGCGATGGCTGTCAGGCCCCCTGGAAATCCTGGAGCGCATCCTGAGCCAATCTGATCATGACAGCATTCCTTGAGATTCGACGTTTCCAAACATTGAAGCATCGTGACGAATCACGACCGGAGCCCTAGAGACTCCATCTTATTGCAGCATTCCCAACCATCCTGTGGTGTTGGCGCCTCGTTTCGAAGAGACAGCGCCCCGCGTCTCCTCTCCTCCTCTTCCCCCTCCTCCCCCTCCTCCCTCCTCCCATCCCTCCCTCTCCTCTCCGCGTGCAGTCCTCATCATCATTATCTTGAGCTTCACTGTGATCATCGCGATCATCGGCATCATTAACATCGCCATCGTCAGCGTCGTGATTTTGTTCGCCGCATGTCCATTTCGGCACACCTCTCACGCGGTTCGTGGCCCCATAGGGAACTCCACCGAAGGCTCCAGTGGCAGGGTCGTCCCCCCTCCTACTTTGGAACACCCCTCACGAGGATCGTGGCCCCATAGGGAGCTCCACCGAAGGCCCCAGTGGCAGGGTCCGCTTGCGTCCCCCCGCACATTTCGGCACACCCCTCACGAGGATCGTGGCCCCATAGGGAGCTCCACCGAAGGCCTCAACGGCAGGGTCCGCATGCGTCCCCCCGCCCATTTCGGCACACCCTTCACGAGGATCGTGGCCCATAGGGAGCTCCACCGAAGGCCCAAGCGGCAGGGTCCGCATGCGTCCCCCCGCCCATTCCGGCACACCCGTCAGAAGGATCGTGGCCCCATAGGGAGCCCCACCGAAGGCCCCAGCGGCAGGGTCCGCATGCGTTCCCCCGCTTATTTAGCCACACCCCTCACACGGTTCGTGGCCCCATGGGGAGCTCCACCGAAGGCCCCAGTGGCAGGGTCCGCATGCGTCCCCCCGCTCACTTTGGCACACCCCTCACGCGGTTCGCGGCCCCATAGGGAGCTCCACCGAAGGCCCCAGTGGCAGGGTCCGCATGCGTCCCCCCGCCCATCTTGGCACACCCGCACAGTATGGGGAGGCTCGACGTGCGAGGTGCATTTGCAGCCGCCCAGGCGAGTCCCGTCAATAAGGACAGCTGCGCGAAACATCAGGAAAGTATCGGCTCCGCCTTCAAAGCGCCGGAGCCTATGGGGCCCGCAGATCATGTTACTAATCCGAACGGGTCATCCCAATACCTGTAACTGTCATCATTTTTGGTTTCATCAGGCTTGATTATGGGGGCGGGAGCCTCGTCTGTGAGTGAATTGCGAAGAAGTCCCTATAACTCGCCTCACTTTGGGGCCGCTGAGGTTTGAATATTGGGGAAGTATGGGGCGGGAACCTCTCCTGTGAGTGAATTGCGGGTCGCTTCGTCCGAGCTGATCGCCAGAATACTTGGTATTGTCATGGACCCGCATGCCCGAAAGAACGACTCAGGAGCTGACGACGACGACGACGAGACAGCGGCCGGACAACGGGGCTCAGGCGAAAGCAAGAACACCATAATGCAACGCGCGACGGACAAAAGGAGAGACAGGATAATAAGCTGGGAAGAACAGGGTGACAAAACGGCCGCGCAAGGGGCTCAGGCCAAATCAACAAAACAAACGTGCAACGCGCAACGGAAACACAGAGAGAGGATAATACGCTCGGGAGAACATGAAGACAAAACGGCGGCGCACGGGGCTTGGGCCACCGCGGGCCCCCCCTCTCCTCCGTCTCATCTCCTTCGTGGCACTCGCGGCTGCATATGGTTGGGTCCTTCGTCAGGCGTGAGGGTCCCCGGGCCCGAAAGCGGGCGAAAAGGTCCGGTGTGAACACATTGCAACGCCCAGATCTCAGGCTCCTCTCAGACTTCAATCGGGCATGACCTTCTACAGGAGGAATATTCAGGCACAGTCAATTAATTCACTGCGTGGAGCTCCCCATACGTGCATCTATTAGCATGGACCTGCTGGCCGTAAGTGTCTAGGCGCAGTGGTTTTCCATATATGCGGGCTTAGATTTGACGGTGTGGTTGCGACTCTAACTGTGAACGGAATGGAATGTGAATGAGTCTCAATAGTATGAGCGCGTCTCTGCGCATGAGCCTGGGGCCTTTGGAGCCTTCAAACCTCCTGGGGCGCTGCATTCTTTATCGAACATTCGAGAGGATGTGCGAGGCTCACACCCCTTTCACTATCAAGTCATGGGTCGACGACCTCAACACTCGCATCACGGCCCCACCGAAGTTAGCAGTCGACCAGATCACCAAGGTTGCCACCATCCTGCGTGACGACTGCAAAGAGCTGGACCTCATCATCCCGCCGAAGTCAAACATCCTCAGCTCATCTGTCTTGGCTGGGGTTGCCCTGGAGGCCAACTTGAAGCAGTTGGGGCTTGCAGTTCCGTGTAGAGATCGAGTTGTGGACTTGGGCTTTGATCGAGGCAACATTCGACGTGGTCAAGCTAAACATAATAAGCGAGTCGAGAAAGCTCGCTTCAGATTTCACAAGATTGGTAACCTGGCCAGGAGTACTCTAGCGCATCGAAGGATAGGATTACGTCTCGCAGTCACTGCTGCCATGCCGTGTGCTTCCTACGCTGGGAAGATGTACGGCGCCCCTCCATCGGTTCTTCTTCAGTGGCGTCGAGCTCTGGGCCGCATCCCGCGCAAAGGGCTCCAGCCAACGCTCGCTGACCACCCAGCTCCAGTTGGACATGGGCCACTCTGACCCCGCGATCACTACGGCCATGGACGCGATCAATTCGTGGGCGCTCTTCCTGGCCACCTCCGACATCGACAGGCAGCTGATCGAGGCGACCTGGGCCAGGGTTGTAGCGGACCTTTTGGCCCGACCTCAAAGCACCTGGTCTCACCACATCTGGGGAATTTGCTCGGCCACGGTCTGCTTCCTTCTAAGGTACTTTTGGGGGGGCCCTAGGCCCTTGGAGGTGGGTGAGCCCCGACGGTATCGAGTTTTACGCCCCGCCAGAAAGGC